CATTAACTATATTTTTCGCTCAATTTTATTCAACACACAATAAATTAAAACTGTAACTCCCAACTCCCATCACTTATCATTCTATAAATAATCGTTCCTCATTCTCTCATTCACTCATTCACTCATTCACTCATTCTCTCATCCTCTTCTACTATATCTCAATTCTTAATTTTTATTTTGGTTTAGTTTTAAGATTTTTTTGGTTTGTTGTTGTTGTATGGATTTTAAAAAATAAAATTAAATATAATTGTATAAGCGTAGTTCTAAATTTTAATTTTAGAGCTTATATGATATATATATATATATCTTACATCCTCTTTGATTTTTTTAAAGACTAATATTCATTGTCTATTTTAGATTATCATCTTATAAGTAGTCATTCTCCCATCCTCTTCCACTATATTCATGTATCTATTTTTTATATTGCTATATGGGTTAATATCAAAGAAAACATCATCGTAAAAATTTGATTCTAAACATATTTTAAAAAGTATGCCATATATCTAACATTGTTTTTTTAAAAAAATATTTTCGACACCATACTAGATTATACATATTACTTCTTTAATTTTTCGAAACAAAATAAAAGTTTTGATGCCTATAAAAAAACTTTCAGGTTTACTAGTGATTGAGAATTAAGAATATCAATTCTAATCATCGCACAACAAGGAAAATAATGTTAAGAAGATCCATCTCCATTTTCTACTTTCGATGTTTGAATATTTCCTAACATATTCAGGTAATTGTTTTTTTTATTATGTGATATTTAATAAAATAAATTATTGTAATACATATATCAAATACTTTTTTCTTACCTCCTTATTATCTCAAATAAATTTTCGTAACTCATTTTTAATATATGTATCATTTTTTTTTTGTTCCAATAGATAATTATATAAAGATAATTATAACGTTTATTTTATTTAAAATTTGAGGGTTAATTGTTTTTTGAAAACAAAAAGCTTCATTAAAAATATTAGTCCTTAAGATTAAAAAAAATGAAATCATATGTTTCATAAAAATTAAATTTAGTTAAAATAAAATCATTAGAATGAAACCTTCTACTCATAGTTTTTTTTTTCCAACCTACCACTCATACTCAAATTCTGTGAAATATAGAAAACACAAACTATAAATAAAGAAATTTTTTTATTAAATCCTATAATTTAAGATCAAACCATTAGTATGAAATTTAGCACTAAAATTTAAATTGATGAGTAAAATTAAAATGTTTTAAAAAATAGAAGTTATCCTTGGATTTTTAAAAAACAATCTTTGATTGAAGTTCATAAGAAAACAAATTTAGTTTTCACTTATAAAATGATATTAGTTTAAACTATTATGTGTGAATTTATATCAATTTATTTTGTAAAAGTAATATATAACATGTGTTATACGTTATATTTGTTTGTAAAAGTAATATATAACATGTTTATTGATGTATACATACATAAATAATATAGTAAAGCAAAAATTATTAAAATATGAGCAAATATAAGATATCAAATTTTAAAAACCTTTTATTTATTTTCAATCACATTTATATTGAAACAAAATTATTTTAGGATAATATATCCTGCCGCGTAGCGCGGATTTTTATCTAGTTGATTAAATAAAATCCAGTTTTCTATAAAGTGTTATCTTTGTAGAATTTAAGTGTGTGAAACACCTATTTCTATTGAATTTGCGGATTAGGATTGTTTGTGTGAAGCAAACTCTCTAATTTTCTGTGTTTCAATCAAATTTAGTTTCTCCAAGTCAATTTTTTTTTTGTATCTCTAAAAAATTGTTTTTAATAACTTTTTATTATTGGCTTGTAATATAATCTGTTATAGAAAATTTTTATACCGTCCGGTTATAATAAATTGAGTTTCGGTTGAGATGGATGAATTTGATTTGGTTTTGTTCTTCTCCATGTAACCTACTTCTGGTGAATTCGATATAAGGAAACAAAAATATTTAATAGTAATTAGTTAAATTTCTACAATAAAATCGACAATGTTAAGATAATATTTCAAAATTGATGAATTTGTTGTATATAATTTTTTTTTTTGTATACCGCGGGTCACATTCGTTGTATCTAAAAAATAAATAATTTAAGTTGTATTTGTTTTGTTTAGTGTTTAAGATTGTATAATTGTATTTTAATTTGTTAATTCTAGGATTTCACACATGGTATATTGTCTCGTATTAATATCGACCCAAATCCGTCCCACCATAATCTTGTCATGTGAAATTAAACATCATTTTGTTATTTTTTAATAACACTTTATCTAAAAGACATATAATTCGAGTTAATTTAAAAGGTTGCTTTCAAATAGTTTCTATAATATATATATATATATATATATATATATATATATATATATTTAAATTAATGTGTGTTTTTAGATCAACCCGTAAAAACAATTTATAATTGTATCTTAAAATACTAAATAATTGTATTTGATTTTTTAATTTTAGGATTTCACCCGTGGTATATTGTCCCGATTTAGATAATTGTAGATATTAAAAAAAGATCTGAATGACTCAATTTCGGGTCAAAATAAAAAAATGACCTGATTAAATGCACAATTTGTTCTTCAAAAATGTTAATATAGATATATATCAAGCATTAAAAATTCTTAATATATGTTTATATTTAGTAGATATGGTAATTAAGAGTTTTAATTTTGAATATTTGAATTCCATATGTTAGGATCTCAAATCTCGTTTTCATAAAAATAGGAATTGTTTGGGGAATTTATTTATTGATTTGTAAATTTGTTTAAGACAAATATTTTGTTAGATTTTATTTGTAAGGACTAAATGTACTAAATGAAAATTGTAAAAGGATTTTTGAGGCCAAATCTTCTCCAAAAATGTATATATAGATAAATTTTTATTATTGGGTTGTATAATATTCCGGTATAGAAAACTTTTATACCGTCCGGTTATAATAAATTGAGTTTCGGTTGAGATGGATGAATTTTATTTGGTTTTGTTCTTCTCCATGTAACCTACTTCTGGTGAAATTTCGCCTTCTTCTTCTTCCGGCTTCCATTTCTCGATTTCGCGTCCTCATAGGCGATTGAAACATCTCTCAATTTCCCTCAGCTGATTTCAAGGAAAGCAACTCAATGATTCAATCTGATTACGTGTCAGTGTAATGTTGCTTCTCTGCTCTGTGTAGCTGCAGCTGATTGAATAATCTCTCAAAGTTAGTATTTCGTAAGCATCTTCAGTTATGTAGTTGGAGATTTCATAAACAAAATCCTCAGTAGAATACTCAATTCCATTGGAGTTGAAACATTGAGTTTATTATTCTACTGGGATTTTGTTTATGTAATCCTCAATTTCATAATCATCTTCATCACATGCTGCTTATAGCCAAACAACCCTCAGAAGCATTATTCTTGAGTCTTAACAAAGGTAACTCCTTAGAATCTTTTGTTTGTGTGTGTGTGAAGTAGGCCTGGGCATTCGGATTTCGGATCGGATTCGGTTCGGATTTATTCGGATTCGGATATTTCGGATTGGAGATTTTATTATCCGTTCGGATTTTATGACGGTTCGGATCGGGTTCGGTTCGGATAGTGTCGGATTCGGATCGGTTTTGGATCGGTTTTCGAGAAAAAAAAAACTAAAAAAATGTTCAATTCAAATAAAAAATAGTCTAATTTTATTAAAATTTGGCTAAGGATTCCAAAAATATGTATAATTTTAACAAATATAACTAAAAACTTTCCGATATCTAGGTTATTTAGGATGTTTTTGTTATTTGTTATAAAATTATAGCTAAATATAACTAATATTTTTGGATATATAATTTTATTTTCGGTTTTTGGATATCTTTTCGGTTTTCGGTTCGGATCGGATTCGGTTCGGATAATTTGGATAGGAGAATTCATTATCCGTTCGGGTTTTGTGACTATTCGGTTCGGATTCGGAACCGGTTTTTTCGGATCGGTTTCGGATCGGTTTTCGGATTTCGGATTTTATGCCCAGGCGTAGTGTGAAGCATGGTTAAATAATGTTTGTATGATATTGTTGTGCTCGATAATCACTTTTTTGGACTGATGCAGCCAATTGCCCAAGTTGTGGAAGCTTCTCTAGAAGATTACGAGCAAGCAGCCAAAATATGGATGCAGGTTACGGCTCCTAAGAGAGGCGATATTGCGAGACAGATTGGAGATGCATTAAGATCGAAACTTGAATATCTTGGTCGTCTTCTTTCACTTGAAATGGGAAAGATCCTTGCTGAAGGCATCAGAGAAGTCCAGGTAGGTTTCTTTACTCTTCAAAGCTTAGTTTCTTTTTCATTGATACATTTACATTTTAGCTAACTTTGTGACGCATTTTACAAATATTACTCTGCAAAACTTTTCAGGAAGTAATTGACATGTGTGATTTTGCTGTGGGTTTAAGCCGACAACTCAATGGACCGGTTAACATTCGGATTTTGTCGGATTTTTGTGGATACATTTCTTAAGAGATGATTAACATTCGGCTTGAACATTGTAATGCAGATGTGGAATCCTCTTGGCATTGTTGGTGTTATCACAGCGTTTAATATTCCATGTACAGTTCTTGGTAACACTGATGTCTCGTGAGATTGCTCATTAAAGTCTGCCATGCTTCTTCGTAGCTCTGCAATTTCATTATTTAATTCCCACATGAAAGTGGAGACAATAGAGTTAGATTTGCCATACTATGATTTAGCCATGTTGTAAAGCCATAATGAAACTTTTTTCTTTGTGCACATTGTACTAGATGAGTCATGAGTGAATTTCAATTAGTGTTACTTATAAAATTTTCCTATAGCAATGTGTTACAGTGATATATCGACAGATAGGAAACTAATAGTGCTAATGAAAGAAAGCAATGAAAACTTGTTCTACTAAGGATGATAGCTAAAGAGATCACATAAACAATTAAGACTGGTTTTAGCAATTTTTTGGTCGCCAGAAAAAATAAATGGCATATTTGGATTTCAAGTAAAACTTATAAGTCAAAACGTTATTAAAATCTAGTATTCATTTGTAAGAAATAGAGGTTCATTGGAGATGTCCTATTCTAGTTGTCTCTTTCTGTGTAGGAACTTTAATTCTTCTTGAGTTTGGAGAAAGTTCCTGTCTCTGAGAAGTAAGTGCTTTGAATCCCACTGACTAATCCTAATGCTTGAGGATTGCAACTCTCTATTCCTTGCACAAGAGTGAAAGCCAGACTTGATGTCGTCAAACCAGAGGTAGTATAACCACCTGTGAACTGTCGCTTTTTGGCGACCTTAGCATTAAGTTTCAGCTTGCCGGAAACACGCAGCCTATTGCTCCCAGCCTGACCAAGCATTCCATATCCGATACCTAATCCATCACCAAGAGAGCTCTCTTCGGGTGTACCAAACGCCATCCTGTTGGCCAATTTTCTCATGTCTGTCACTTGATACCTTTCTTTCATTTTTCTTAGACGGCGACCACCCCTTCTCTTTTTAGGCACAGAATAAGGAACATGAAGTGGCTTAGGTTGCCTTGCAGGAGGAGGTTCTTGCCACTTGTCAATATTCTTGCGGATTTCCTCCCTCAAAGCTTTCCCGTTAGTTCCAGATGGATCTCCTCTAGTAGCGTCAACTCTTGCTGCCAAAGTCGATTTTGAAGCCAAGAGCCTGCTAGCGCGCATTCGAAGTTCAGGAGGCGTGCTTTGGAAAATCTCTGTCTGCTCCAAATAACCCGCACGAGACAGTGACAGTGCAGTAGAGAATCCGACACGGTTCTTCCTGTTGTGGCCAAGAACTAGAACATTACAAGCTTGGCTGCAACAGCACTCCCGACAATAGCAGAGAGATTTGGTGCGATAGATCCCATCTTACTTTCAACAAACTCAAGAACCTTTTTCCTTGCCGAATCAAGATCAATAGCGTGAATGATCACAAGCGTCTAACGTCTTTCGTAGGATACTATCTGGAAGTGGTTTCCCTTTTGTGGTTAAAGCAGTAACTGAAACAGCAATAACAGTAGCTGGTTGAAGAAGGCCTTCCATATCAACAAGAGTTATGTCTGTCTCATTGGCAATTTTTTTCACGACACGGGCGTAATCTATTGGGTCATGTACCAGCGACTCAAGCTCTGGGAACTTAAGTCTGTACTTGTCGCGGATAAAGTTGTGGAAGATCACAATCTCATTCTCGATATCAGCTGAGAGCTGATTGCAATCAACGATAAGCTTGTCTTCCAATACAGTTCCCATCTCTGCTCCTCCATCCGAATCCTTCCCGAGAGCCTCTTCCACTCTCTGCATTATATCAGCGTATCTATGAGTTTCTTGTAGCTTCGAAACTCTCGAGAGATCATCATAGTTTAGGGTTTCTGAGTCTTCCATGTCCATGTCAATATTGTCTTCCTCCTCTGTTCTAGCATACAGTTCTGCTTCATTGTCTGATAACTCGTCAAGGTCTGCGTAGAAAGAATCTTCAAGAGTTGCCATATATCTGAATTTGATCACCGATACCACGTCCGTGATTATGCTCTCTACGGTTAGGTCTGATGCTCCTGTCGATTCTCTCTTGTGAGAAGAAGACGATGTTTGGTTTTATACCAAAACCACACCCACGAAATAAAAAAAAAAGCAAATTTCCTTTTCTTGGGAACTCCATCGGTAACTGGAATGAGATCGTAATGAGCATTCCTTTTCTTGTAAAGACATACAAAACAAGCAGGGGCGTCAGCGTACCACACTAAAGCCAACTCTTTCGTCTCCTCGTCTACTCACAGACGTCCCTTGATTTCATCCGCATATAATGAGTAATAAGAGCCTCGTCTATCTCTATCTTTCATACGCTTCAGAGCAGAGTAGTTCGATAAAAGCGACTCTAATGGAGGAAGATCAATCCTATTCCCACTAAACACATCTATAATATATAATCTGGATCGAGAATCTAGCATCAACAACCATTTACTGCAGCTTGCCAGGAATCGACTCCCTGAACAGTCTCTCTTTGTCTTGTAAACCACTTTTTTGTATGGATTGCAAAGCAAGCAACCACCGTCCTCGTCTGGAAAAAGCATTAGCCATGGAGTTCCGCTTTTCCGGTGAACTGTTTGTTTTGAACCAGAATACCAGTAGGAACAAACCATCTTAGCTCGATGGAAATCCACATAGCTCAAACGTTCAAACAGAGATATGAGGATATCGAGAGTGAGGTTCGACCAATTGCTAGGGTTAGTTAGTAGTCTCCATAGTGTTGATAGGTAATAGGTTTATGTTTGGTTTGATTCTTTGCAGCAAATTTCTATGATCGTTGTGGATGCTCTTCTTCAGACAAGACTTATGGCAAATCAAGCCATCTCATACCCGTACATGTATCTCAAACTCTCCTCCTCCTCTGGGCTTACACATTACAATTGGGCTGCGGCCTATTGGTTTCAATTTTATATTTAGTTTCAAGGTTCAATATTGTTGGGTAGCTGACTAGTGGGAGGACTGTAAAACTAAAAACATTAGAAACTCTTACTAGTGTATTTTAAAATTAATGCATCAAAATTTTATATGTATAAAAAAGTAGGTTTGGTTTCACCATAGAGAATATGCTAATGTTGTAAACAAATTCGTCAATTATTTTATTTTTAATATTTATAAACAAACATTTTGTTTATACTTAGTGGTAAAATTTAATATTTGAATTTTTGAAAAAAATGGTTTTGGCAAATTTTTAGAATATTCATGTTTTCTTCTTTTTTACTTTGGTTTGCAAGATAAGTTCCCGTCTCCGCTTCCTTTTGAGTTGAAGTTCTTATTTCTTGAAGATATGGACGATTTATGAGTTCCACTTGTCTGACGTATCTATCTTTCTCGTGTCGTGGATTTTCGGTTCGAGATCCAACATTAACATCACAACAATTGATAGTTTGATGGAACATTTGTCCATGCTAATCCAAGAAGTCTGATGTGGACATTAGAACCACTCACCAAAAGGAGCTAACCAAACCAGCCATTTAACACACCATTCCATTCGAAACAAGCTTATAAGGATAATTTTTGTACAAGTCAAATCATGATCATGCAAATGGCCTAGGCTTAGATATTCCCCAAGGAATATATCCTAAGAAGAATAATGGTTCGGGTGAAATCATTAACCAACAAACCACATTGCCAAACCGACGTAGAGGCTTATAAGGACTAGTTTACAAGCAAGGCGAGCTGCCAAATGGAGATTCTGTTCAACCAATGGATCTTGGCTTTTTTTTTGCATCCGTACACCATATATTCTAAGGAGAATGATCAAAGAAATTCATCCTTGGTTCGAGCTGGTTTAAGAGTTTACCATGGAGGTCACCCGGTGTAAATAAGGAAACTTGTGAACCCACCTTATCATCAGCTGAAGCCATGACTTGGAGACCTTCTAAGATTAGAGGGTTCTCTTTTAACCTAGGAAGTCGTCCATATTCACCCCAACAAGCTGGAGTTGCAAAACAGCAAGTTAAATCTACATTTGCCTTATTTGGGAGTGTCCACACCTATATTCACACTCAACAACAACTTTCTCAAAACTGTCGTGTTTTGAAGCCTCCCTAGTGTATAAGAGCAACTCCATCCTTTAGATATCCCAAAAAAATATCTTAACATTAAAATATTATTATTTTAAAACATTTCAATTATTTAATCAAATTTTAATTTTAAAATCACCGTTTCGATGATGACATGTGGGATGAGAGTTTCAAGTGGATTTCTTAAGGGTTCTTTTTTTAAAACCATTTCTTTATTCTCTTTCCCATTTTTTTTTTTAATTATTTTAATGCAAAATATCTAATTTAGATACTTGCACCGCACCACACCACACTTGATCATATGGATTTAAAAGAGACCAAACTTGTCCTTTTTTAGAGTCAAATGTAATCAAGCTACAACGGCTCTTTCTCTCTTTGATTGTGCGTGTTTTGAAGACCCTCTTTTACATCTAGAGACTTCCAAAGGTGAGCTACTTCTTCTCATAGCTCTCAAGATACGAGCCAACAAAACATTCCATATTTTGATGATTTTCTCTTAAAGCCTCAAACGGCTATTTTCTTTAAATTTTAAGATTCTTTCCTTAATTTAAGTTTTTATGACCGTTGTCTATGAGCCTATAAAAGCTCAACTCCGTTTTCATATAAAGCACATTTTATCAATTTTTTTTTGTTTTTTCTTTTCCATTCAATAAAACCCAGTTTTCTACAAAGTGTTATCTTTGAGTTTGTGTTATTGTCTTTAAAATTTAAGTGGGGGATATACTTCTTTTCTATTGAATTTGCGGATTAGGATTGTTTCTGTGAAGCAAACTCTCTGATTTGCGGATTAGGATTGTTTAGACAGTTGAATTTTGACTCGGTTTTGTCCACCCGTAGACCGTAGTGTTGTTCTATACCGTAGATCTGGTGAAATTTTGCTTTCTTCTTCTTCTTCCGGCATCTATTTCTCGATTTCGCCTCCTCATAGACTATTATAGGAATCATCTCTCAAGTTTTCCTCAGATTCTCTATCTCAATCGGATTCAATTTGGTTCCATATCAGTGTAGTTTCGGTTGATAGAATAATCTCTTCACGTTTTTGAGTATTTCATATCTAGATACAAGTTGTCACTAACATTGCTTCAAATCTTTTATTGAGTTTCTTTTGGATCTCAAATGTTATTTGGATTGTTATTCTCATAATATTTTTTTTTTCTCATTTTCATCACTGCACTTTTTTTTTTTGGATTCAACAGTACATTATTCAAGGAATTTGATAAGCATCTATAGTAATGTAGTTGGAGATTTCATAAACGAAATCCTCAGCAGAATACTCAATTCCAGTGGAAAAAAATGGAAAAATTGGGTTTCATATTCTGTTGGGATTTTGTTTATGTAATCCTTAATTTCATAATCATCTTCTCACATGCTTCTCATAGCTGAAGAACCCTCAGAGGCATTATCCTTTAGTCTTAAGAGAGGTAACTCCTTATAATCTTTTGTTTGTGTGTGTGGGATGAGAGATTCTAGTGGATTGCTTAGGCCATCTCCATTCATAACTTTTGTGGGTGTCTTAACATAAATTTAATTATAAAATACTAATATTATATTATGGATGTTTTAAAAATAATAACAAACTCAATCAAAGTGTCTTGATGAAGACATTTTTTCAATTAGGGGTTTTTATTTTAGAACTTTTTTTTTGTTCTCTTTCTTACTTTTTGTAATTATTTTAGTGCAAAGTATCTTGTTTAGACATTTGCAATGAAGTGTTCTAAGAGATTCTTTAAAGCTTTCCTGCATTATCCTAGCTGCACCATACCACACTTGATCATATGGATTCAAAAGAGACCAAACTTGCCCTTTTTGGAGTCAAATGCAATAAAACTAAAATGGCTCTTTCTCTCTTTGTTTGTGCGTGTTTTGAAGAACCTCTTTCACATCCAGAGAATTCCAAAGATGCATTAGTTCCTCCCCAAGTTCTCAAGATACAAGACAACAAAACTTTCCATATTTGGCCGATTTTCTTTTAAAGTCTCAAACGGCTCTTTCATTTAAAATTTGATGATTCGTTTCGTAGTTTAGCTTTTAAAGACCGTTGTCTATGAGCCTAGAAAAGCTCAGTTTTGTTTTCATTGTAGATCACCTTTTATCATCATATATATAAAAGTAAGGTTTCACTTTCTCCTTATTGGTCCACTTGGCAATAAGAATAAGAAAAAATAATATTTTTAATTAAAATACATATAAATAACACATATCATCATATACATTTAACTCACACTTTAATATATAACTGAAATCATAAAACCTATGCATTAACTTTATTTTCACAAATTATTTTCAATTAAAACACAATTAAATAACCTTTTTAATCATATACATTAACTCACACTTTAATATAAAACTGAAATCATAAAATCTATGCATTAACTATATTTTTCACTCAATTTTAGTCAACACACAATAAATTAAAATTGTAACTCCCAACTCCCATCACTTATCATTCTATAAATAATCATTTTCTCATTCTCTCATTCACTCATTCACTCATTCACTCATTCTCTCATCCTCTTTTACTATATCTTAAATCTTAATTTTTGTTTTGGTTTAGTTTTAAGATTTTTTTGGTTGGTTGTTGTTGTTGTATGGATTTTAAAAAATCAAATTAAATATAATTGTATAAGCGTAGTTCTAAATTTTATTTTTAGAGATTATATGATATATATATATATATATATATATATATATATATATCTTACATTCTCTTTGATTTTTTTAAAGATTAATATCCATTGTCTATTTTAGATTATCATCTTATAAGTAATCATTCTCTCATCCTCTTCCACTATATTCATGTATCTCCTTTTTTTATATTGCTATATGGGTTAATATCAAAGAAAACATCATTGTCAAAATTTGATTCTAAATTTATTTTTAAAAGTATGACATATATCTAACAATGTCTTTAATTATATTTTCGACACCATACTAGATTATACATATTACTTCTTTAATTTTCCGAAGCAAAATAAAATTTTTGATGACTATAACAATTCTTTCAGGTTTACTAGTGATGAAGAATTAAGAATATTAATTCTAATAATCGCACAACAAATAAAATAATGTTCAGAAGATCCATCTCCATTTTCTACTTTAGATGTTTGATTATTTCCTAACATATTCATGTATTTGTTTTTCATTATGTGATATTTAATAAAATAAATTATTGTAATACATATATCAAATAATTTTTTCTTACCTTCTTATTATCTCAAATAAATTTCGTAACTCATTTTTAATAAAGGTATCATTATATTTTTTTGTTCCAATAGATATTTATATAAAGATAATTATAATGTTTATTTTATTTAAAATTTGATGTTTAATTGATTTTTAAAAACAAAAAACTTCATTAAAATTATTTGTCCTTAAGATTAAAAAAATGAAATCATATGTTTCAAATTAAATTTAGTTCAAATAAAATCATTAGAATGAATCCTTCCACTCATAGTTTTTTTTTTTTTTTTGCCAACTTACCACTCATAGTCAAATTGTGTAAAATATAGAAAAAACAACCTATATATAAACAATTTTTTTATTAAATCCTATAATTAAATATGAAACCATTAGTTTGAAATTTAGGACTAAAACTTAAACTGATGAGTAGA